ACCCACATCTGTTGAAACATGCAATGCGCAGCCCTGTAACAGACCACAAAGTGAGCCAAACGTTGACTGCGGCGTGTTTTGGTTGGAATATTTGTGCTTTTCAGCCATTACAACCTTATTTCCCTCCAGCGGTTCCAAGCATCCAGGACTCAGGGGCTGGTAGAGGCACCATAAGGTTTGTGCCCCATGTTCCAGGGGAACATTCAGGTTTGTTTCTGGTATTTTTTTTTTTTTTACTTTTTAACTGAATAATTTTCAGTCACAGATGGTTGCAGTTGAAATTATGATGTTAAAATAAAACTTTTCCTTCTTATGAATAAACATTTGTTTATTGAAGATGTTTAAATTTTGCAACTTTTCTTTTATTCGTGGACCTACAAAGAAGTATCAAGGTCATCTCTATACATTTTAAGTTTTCAAAATAGTTATTCTGAGAGATCAAATATTCCTCAGGGCCACTTGCTGGCCAGGGGCCCCTAAAAAACAACCTTTTCTGGTCATTTGCATATTCTAAAAGCTATGGTTAATATCTGATTTTTAAGTAGCTTTCAGAAAAAAATTTTACTTTTATTTTCCACTAAATGATCCCAGTATCTCTACTCGATATTGATAGATTTAATGGTTATTCCAAATGCAGATTATGGAATATGGATTTAAGAACAGCAACATTCAGTGAAATTGTTACCCTACCCTCTCATGTTAGGTCAGCCTTGTGTGCAGTCACTGTATGGATGCTGTCCTGATGGCCACACAACTGCAACTGGACCCAGGAACCAGGACTGCACACAAGATGACTGTGTTCGTAGCAGGTAATGTGCTCTCTGGATTCTGTCATTTAAACCAATATTTGACTAAAGTAAGTTGCTTTGTACCTGTTAAATGTTTTCTATAACAGAAAGACTTTCTCATCCTCAGATATGGCTGTTGTTTGGATGGAGTGACCCCAGCTGCAGGGTTTGGAATGGCTGGATGTCCTGAGTACCAAACACCTGGGGTAGGACTCAAATTTGGTTGATTTGGTTCGACCTTCACATTTTAACTTTGCCATATTTTTGTGTAAATTTGTGTAAAAGTCACTTCATTGGACTTCAGGCCATACAGTGCCACCTACACGGCAACCAGTGTAAATACCCAAAGACATCATAAAACAACAGTCACCTATATTATCTAATCTATATAGGTAATAGTTCAAAGAGAAGAAAAAAGAAACTAAATTTGGAAATGAAATGCAAATTGTTCAGCTTCCAATACCAAAGCCTGCTCCATTGAAGTGTTATGTTCAAATCACCTGACTTTATTTGATGTGATGACAGGGTCCAAGAGAGACGCTTACGTACATCTACAGGGCTGGAGTCTACAGCGAGTGCTCTGCCTCCTGCGATGGAGGCGTGCAGTACCGCAGCGTGGAGTGTTTGGTTCAGGACCCATCAAACCCCAGAGTGGTGGACGAGTCCTACTGCATCGCCCTCCGTCTGCAGAGGCCACAGAGTCAGCAGCCTTGCAACAGACACGCTTGTGCTGCTGCAGAGTACAGCGTCTCCAGCTTCAGTGTGGTTAGTATCTCACTCCAAATTATGGTCTATCACAACTATCACATCGTTTGGTGAACCATCACCCTAAGCTAGACTGTTGTAAAACCGACGTACGAAGCAAAGGTTTCTTTTTTTTTTCCCCAAGGCTATATGGCCTAACTGACTGAGTTCGTACAAGAATGCTGTTTGCTCATATCCTCTTGACAGTTTTACATTTTCTTTCAGTTGAGAGAGTTTTCTGTTTCTCAGTAAGTGTCAACAGTCATTCGTAAATGTTTTTACAGGGTCTACACTGTAACCATCTTGACTAATTTGACGACAAAAGATAAATGGATTTATTTCAGCGGAATGTGGTTTTGCCTTTTGTCAGTGCTCAGTGACCTGTGGTGAAGGGCAGCAGATGAGGGAGGTGGTCTGTGTGGGAGCGAGAGGGGAACACCTGCCTGACCACGCCTGCAGAGGACTGGCCAGACCTGCTTCTGTCCAGACCTGCCGCCGACCTGCCTGTCACACGCATATTTCCTGGCATGTGACCGAGTTTGGACTTGTAAGTTTAAGCGAAAACATCCTCGCCACCTTATTGCTGCTGTTATCTCTATCTTGTTATCCTCTGTCTTTTGTCCTTGCAGTGCACCAGAAGCTGTGGCGGTGGCGTGAGAGAGAGGAAGGTCGGCTGCTTTGATACAGATCTCAATCCCTACCCAGAGGAACGATGTGGAGCAGCTAGCAGACCTCTTTCTGTAGAGTCATGCAACACACAACACTGTACAGGAGTACAAAGTGAGGAAAAACCTCTTTTGAAACCTTCGGTTTTGTATTTATTTTGTGCGCTAATTTTTTTCAAAATATTTTTTAGCGGTTCCAAGTGTTCAAAATCCAGAGGCCGGAGAAAGTCCAAGAAGATTTGTGCCACATGTTCCAGGAGATCATTCGGGTTTGTAAAAATGTTACTCCGCATCTTAGCATCCAGGCTGGTAGATCTACCAGAAAAACAAGATGTGGACATGGTTTTCTATTTGATTCTGTTGCAATCTAAACTTTCGAACAAAAACGCAAAACCACAGACATTTCTGATCTAATCTATTGTGAAAATTCAAATAAATAGTATGTTGAACAAATATGCAAATGCAGACGACCACAAAACAAGATTAAATCAAAACGTCTGTGGCATTTTGGGTGGTAATGAGTACGCTGTGTTTGATGTCATGTTTTCTTGCTTTAGTTCCAAGGCCAGACACGTACAGTGAGCGGGGTCCCTACCCTCCTGTGTACGGTCCCCACTGTGCTCAGTCGTTGTATGGCTGCTGTCCTGATGGTCACACCTCTGCAACTGGACCTAGGAGCCAGGGGTGCCCACATGACTGTGCTCAGAGCAGGTAACCTGGTGTCTTCATCTGAGCTTTGAAACCAGTTAATAACATCCAGAGAAATGATCAATTTCTAACAGAGAAATTGTTTATAGATATGGCTGTTGTTTGGATGGAGTGACTCCAGCTCCAGGAGTCGGAAGGGCCGGATGTCCTGAGTTTCAAACGACTGAGGTAGGAAGGAAATTTGTGGCCTACATTAACACACGGAGGTGAAATTCATAAAGCGTAGCCATCTCCATCATTCTCCACAGATGCTTTGCTCTTATGTGTTTCTGCACTGGATTTGCAAAGCAAATTGCTCTAAATCAATGGTCTCAACCTCCAAGTCCTGTAACTTTTAGATGTTTCTCTGCTTCAGCACACCTGGCTTCAATATTAGCTCATTAGCAGAGCTCTATAAGGCTTGAATGTATGTTAGCCCTGCGGTGGACTGGCGATCTGTCCGCCTCTTACTCGTTGACAGCTGGAGACAGGCACCAACACCACTCCCGACCCCAATGGTATAAGGGTGTAAGAAGATGGATGAATGGATGTTAACAAGGTGTTCTTGGCAGCTGTAGCAGATGATGTTATTGTTTTGTACTCAAAAATGACATCCTTTCATTCGAGTCTGGTCCATACAAATAGAAAACAAATGTGAAAACCCATATAATTATATCAGAATTTTTTAAAAATGATGTATTTAATGTTAATTTACATACACCACTTATTGCATTCTAACTTTAACCTCAACCATCATTAGTTTTTTTTTTTTTTTTTTTTTTCTTTCCTAACAGCTGTATCCATCTCGCCCTGCTGATCCATCCGGAGGGAACACTTGCCTCCTGCCCCGTGATGAAGGTCCTTGTGACAACTGGATGGTTCGGTTTACATATGACTACAGCTCTGGCAAATGCAAGGAGTTCTGGTACGGAGGCTGCCATGGCAATGCCAACAACTTCAGATCAATGGAAGCTTGCAGGACGGAGTGCGAGGGCGTTTCAAGAAGGCCTGCACCTGCCAGGGGGGCGTCGGGAAGAGGGTCACTTGGAAGCATTGCAAGGGCAACGGCTCAGCGCTCACGTATTCAGCGTGCATAATAGAAAAAAGAATTGTAAGATACAAAATATATACTGTCATGTAGAGATTATTTTAAACTAATTTGAAGAGACTGTAAATCATTACAATATTTTTCAAAGCAGTACCGTACAATTTTACTGTTCCGATCGATATTTTCAAATGAAAATGCTTCTTGAAGTCTTTAGAACTGTTTCTGGAAATAATAAAAGTAAAGTGAAATAAAACTGAAAAGCTCGCTATTCTACAAACTCAGTTATTGGGTTGTTTGCTTTATGCTTTTTATATTTTAGGTTCTGTTCTTCCCATTAGTTTTAAATATGTCTGTACTATCTAATACTGGAATATGTGGATGTACATGATTTTGTTCATATGCCACTTGAAGAAAATTGCCTTATTCTATATGTCAAATGAACATGACATTTTATCATAATAAATTATATACTTACAAATCTTTGTCCTGATTTTACATTTTATTTGTTTTCGTCTGCAAATGTCTTTGTGATGTTGATTGATCATTGACATACCGTAAAACTGTGAGTAGGCCCAATCAATAAAGTGTTATTTGATCCTCCTGCAATTGGTGTTATTTATCTGTGATAGTGTGGTCATGCAATATCTGCAGATGGGAAATTTGTAAAAAAGGGTCAAACACTTGCATTAAAAACTGCAAACCATAATTTAAATAGTTGTTTCATACTTTGGTAAAAGTAAGTTTTGTACATTCAGTCTTTAGATCTATTGTAATTAAAAATGATAATATAAAAATAATATGAGGAGTTTATTATAGGTCAGTATTAATATTAACAGTCTCCTCTGAAGAAAATGACTAAAGATTGTAAGCTTCCAACTCTTAAAGACAAGTAATACGTACGGAGTTAGTGCATTAGCATTATTTTTTTATTTTACATCAGAAGTTATTTAGCTTAACTAGTTTCCAGTTGCTACAAAAATAAGTGTTTTACAAGTTCATTTGATTTCAGTTTTTACTTTTATTTTGAAACCAAATTTTTATTTTGAAGCCGTAATGTTTTACAACCGGAAACACTTTTGCGTCAGTTCCTTCAAGTGTTTTTTCTAGAATCTTTGCTTTGCTCGGGCAACCTGAAAGTAGATTAAGCGATTCATTTTTCCTGCTTTGTTTGCTTCCACTGTAAACTTGGAGGACCTGTAGTGAGAGCAGATATGGTAAGTGCTGCTTGCATTGAGGTTTGAAATATAAGAAACACTGATAATAAGCGACACTGCTGGTTATTCTGTTTTTGCTAAGCTAGCAAGCTGCGACGCTAATAGTTGCTACTAATTTTAATCTGTCAAATGTCTTTTTTTTTTGCTGTTACAAGATTGATTTAAATTTGAAATTAACCCCTGGCTTGGATACTTGTTATATAATTCTGCTTCTGTTGGATTGGTATCTGTTGTATTTTTCATGTTTTATGCACTTATTCAGAGTCGTGGCGTTTTGTCTTTAACCAAAAATGGTCTACACTCGTAATGTTTGGAAATGACTGTCAGAAGCCCTCCTTATTTATCTTTGGCATTAGAGTAAATAATGAAATCCAGTTTTAGACTGTATCATTTGTGGCATATTGCTATGCTATTATGTTTTATTAAATTTAAACTTGTGTTTTTCAGTCGCACACAATTTTGCTTGTCCAGCCGACCAAGAGACCAGAGGGCCGCACATATGCGGACTACGAGTCGGTAAACGAATGCATGGAAGGTATATTTTTTCCTGTCTTTTTAAGTTTAACTATTTAACTATAACATTTATAAAAATGTGGTTATGAAATTTAATGCCGAAACGGTATACTACAAAGTGATAGAAGGGAACTGTAGCAACACACAGTTTTCACCCACGTTTTTAACCAAGCATCTGTAGGGCGAAAGACAAGAGAAGATTTGATGAAACATTATACAGATTAGTGTTTGGTTCCGTGAGACCAAATTATGAAAATCTGTTGTTGTATAATGCAAATAAGAGATGAAGACCTGTATCAAATTTTATAGAAGAATCTGAATGCACGGACCGAGACTCTCTTTTTGAGTTAGTCTCAGTCCGGTTTCACACGAACTCTTGTATAGTTAACTTCTGTTTGGAAGTAGACCAGCCTCAATTGAACTTACTACAGGAAATGTATGTTCTTAGGCTTTATGAGCCTTAAAAGGAGTCCTCCAGTGTTGCTAACGCCACTGCTGTATGTACTGAAATCGTACGCGATTCGTTGTTTTTCGCTCAGCAATACTGATAGTTTATGGTACAGAATCGTACAAAAACATTTAGAAACTCACTTTTCTTTTCAGACAAAAAATTACTCTCAATATTTCTAAATATTGCAACATTTTAAAATAACAATACATGTATTTTTTAATAACTACAAATATTTCCTGTGGCCCCGATTTAATACTTTTTGGTATGCAAAGAGGATAAAATATACTGGATTAAATTTAAATAAACCAAAAAATATGTTTGTAGTGCTCAGTGTTTTCAGTACTACAGTAACCAAGTCCACTGTGGCTGTAGAGGTTTTTCCACAACACATTTTTATCAACATCTTCAAAGAAAATTTTAATTTACTCAATATCAACAGACATCAGGACACTGTTACCGTTTTCCTTTAATCTTCATTGGCACGCTATTATATTTTCCTTCCTTATCTTGCTGTTCAAAACTATTGTGTCTTGTCTTCCAGGTGTTTGCAAAATGTATGAAGAGCATCTGAAAAGGATGAATCCAAACAGTCCATCCATTACTTACGACATTAGTCAGCTGTTTGACTTCATCGATGACCTGGCAGATCTGAGCTGTCTTGTGTAAGGATGGATTACTAGAAGAACAGGCTGTACGTTTTTTGTGGGATGTTGATTGTTCTCTATAAAAATAAAATAATTTTGCTTTTAATACAGGTACAGAGCTGACACGCAGACATACCAACCTTACAACAAAGACTGGATTAAAGAGAAGATATATGTCCTGCTGCGGCGCCAGGCTCAGCAAGCGGCAAAGTAAAAGCATGTTTGACATGTTGTCCTTCTACATGCACCTGAAAAACCCCTGTATTGCAGAGTGCTTCAGATATGTGTACAAGGACAACACCCTCGTGGTGGCAAGGGTTTCATTGTAAATTGTGTATACATTGGAAAATGTGGTGGGGGGGTGATAAAAACATTTCAGGGCTGTATATTGACAATTTGCTATGCCTAGGATCTTTTTTGTCATTCCATTACATGCATTTCCAATTTGTTACACATTGAGAATTGGGGTAATGGCTGGAGGGATAACTTCTCTCTTCAGTACCTGCCTTTGGAAATGTTTTACATTATGGCTAGATGGTTTGTTTCTGGATTCACTGCTGGCTTTACATGCAGGTGATTTACGTCTGAATTAGAGTAAAGTGAAAACATTCATAAGGTTATTATTTCTCATTTCATTTTTTTATTGCCATTATGGTAGAAATAGTTTTTTTTTTAATCTTTTGTTTTATGTAAATGTCGGACTTTTTAAATTCTTGTCTGTTATCTTTGAGTTAAACAAAATAAACGGTTGTTTTCTGACTTCTGTCTATTTAATCTGCAATTATTGTACCTCAACTCATCTTCTGCAAAATTGTCTTGTAATGGTAGATGAATGAAAGAATTATGATTAAATTGATATTATAGCTTGATACTGTACGACCCATATAACATATCACAGTAAGTACATTTCTGTTGCTGCTTTTACATTTCTAAAAGATAAAATTTTACTATTGTGACTTATAAAGAATTATAATTGTTCCAAAGCAAGTGAAGATATGACTCAAATGGTCATACTAAGCATTTTTATGGGAAACAAAATCGATGGTAGAAATGTGTTTTTTCTTTTCTTTTTTTGTCTTGCTACTGTCTCTTTAAATGTGGCGGGCTGCCCTGTTGTTGCAGTGTCGGAAACCCCGTACTGCCTGTGAAGGGACCCAAGATGGCTGAAAACTCAAGGGGGGCACTTGGCAATTATCTGAGCAAGACGTCTGAAATGAATGGGAAATAACAGTATAATGTAAAGCGCTATCTTGGATTAATTATTATTCTACACTTTGTTAGTCTGCACAATTTTGGGGGATGTCTGAGTATTAGAAATGAGAGAGAGGTCTCTCCGCGGCCCCGAGCCAGAACATGGCGGAATACTTGGGGAAGAGACACCAGCTAATGCTAGTTAGCTGGCGTAATATTTAAAGAAGAGCGGAGACGCTGTTTTTGATTTAAGCAGTGCTTGTTGTTCACGAGTAAAAAATAATGTTATCGGTGTTGAACAGCGGTGAGTTTGCTTTAGACTGTAGCTCTATAGTGAATATGTAGAGCGTAGGCAGCGAGCGTACTAGTTAGCTAACGTTACCTGCAAGCGTACAAACTGTACTGAGAAGAAACCAGTGCCGTTTTGTTGAGCTGGATTTACTTTGAATGTGTCTGTCTCAGCTGTAGGCGTACAGTTTGTTATGTCTTTCCATTGTTTTTTGTAGAAAACAGACAAAGACGTCAGTTGTCCTTCGTTCAGTTCATTATACTGTCGTTACCTTGCCACAATGGTTTCTGTGCTGTTTCTGCCAGGCGCACTGCCTGTATCCCTGGTGAGATAAGTTTCCACTCGGCTTGGCAAAACTTAAAAAACAAAACAAAACTTGTACATGCACAATCCTTCAGAGAAGGCTACGAAAACCCTCCTTATCTTTGACGATTTTCAAAGTAAAGATCAAGCCCTTTTAAATAAGACTTTTAACACTTCAGAAGTGGACAGGTGTTAGGGGTAAAACTGCAGTTGTGTTACTAGGTGAGGAAGCCCCCCTGTGAGACCCAAAGAAGTTCGGAGAAGGGAACACTGGTTACAATAATCTGTCAAGATGACGGACACTCGTAGGAGAGTCAAAGTCTATACCCTCAACGAGGACAGACAGTGGGACGACCGTGGGACCGGGCATGTCTCCTCATGCTATGTGGAGCGTTTAAAAGGCACTTCTCTCCTGGTTCGAGCAGAGAGTGATGGTAAGTGAACAACTGAAGGGTGAATTAAAAAGAACAAAAAACTCCCAGATTCTATGTAGCCCCTTGTACAAATGTTTACCTTTTTGGTAATTATTTTTTGATGTTAATTGTACAGTGTGGTCTTGATTGTGATTTTACAACTTTGAGATTTCCCATTCTGGGATTAATAAAATACTTTGTTTCTGTACAGTAACAGCATTTTTTAAAAGTAGCTTCTTTTTTTTTAAGCTTTGTTGCACATTTTCAACTCATATGTGTCACCTTTTTAATCTGGTAGGCTCACTACTATTGGAGTCCAAAATCAACCCAAATACAGCGTACCAGAAACAGCAGGTCAGTACATGACACAGTACTCGGTTGAAAAAGAAATGTTCTTTTCTGATCTGTCCAGGTTGTAAATTTGGGTTGTTTTTCTTTTAAAAAGGACACATTGATAGTATGGTCAGAAGCTGAGAACTATGATCTAGCACTCAGCTTTCAGGAGAAGGCTGGCTGTGATGAAATCTGGGAGAAAATATGTCAGGTAACTATTTTTTGTGCGTGTTTGTCTTTTCTGTCATTGTGTGTAGTGGATATAAACTAATAATAATATGCATATCTCAAAGGACAGTTTGAAGTGCAAAAATTGTTGGCTAGTATATTGTAAGTGTTATGAACTTGCTTTTATCTTGTTAACATAATTTTTAGCCAGTTTGACAGTCTCATGCAGAAGATGTTCAAAACAAACTTAAATGACATTGCCTAAAGGGTAAAGGTCACAGATTGGAGGAGGAACAGATGAGAGAGGCAAGCAGAAAACAGGCAGATGTTGCGGCTGATATTGTCATTGCATATCGCCACCGCAAGATTTCTTAGTATCATTAAGTCTTCATTTTTCTTCCTATTCAAAAAAATGCATCAAAAGTAAAGATTTCAACCATTCTTTGTCTACAAACAAAGAGCATGTAGTTTAATGTCCAGTAAAACAAAAATATGAAAAGTTAGCGATACACAATTGAATGTGCATAATCATTTTCTTCTCTCTTTTACTTCCTAGTTAAAAACTACCAAATTTATCAAAGGGCCTAGTGAATGTATTTCTTTTGAATGTCTCGACATTCTTTGCAACTGGTTCAAATGTAATATACTGTTTATGTAGCTCTAATATCTGTTGCTCATCTGCTTGCCTCATCGTCAAGGTGCAAGGAAAGGACCCCTCAGTGGACATCACGCAAGAAGTCGTGGACGAGTCTGAGGAGGAGCGCTTCGATGACATGTCTTCCCCAGGTTTGGAGCTGCCGCCGTGTGAACTAAACCGCCTGGAGGACCTCGCTGAGCTGGTGGCCTCCTCGCTCCCGTCGCCGCTGCGGCGCGAGAAACTGGCTTTGGCAGTGGAGAACGAAGGCTACATTCGCAAGCTTCTGGAACTGTTTCGTGTGTGTGAGGACTTGGAGAACCGAGAAGGACTGCACCAACTTTACGAAATAATTAAAGGCATCTTCCTGCTAAATCGCACCGCACTCTTCGAGGTGATGTTTTCTGACGAGTGCATCATGGACGTCATCGGCTGCCTGGAATTCGACCCAGCGCTGCCGCAGCCACGGCGGCATCGAGAGTTTCTGACTAAGACGGCGCGGTTTAAGGAGGTGATCCCCATCTCCGATCCTGAACTGCGTCAGAAAATACACCAGACATATCGCGTGCAGTACATTCAGGACATGGTGCTGCCCACGCCCTCTGTATTTGAGGAAAACATGCTGTCCACCCTGCACTCCTTCATCTTCTTCAATAAGGTGGAGATCGTGGGCATGCTACAGGTGAGAAACAAACGTTTAAACACACGTAGAACACGCACAAGCTTGTTATGCTTTCCTCAGCATGAAGTCGTCTTGAGTTTTTATGATCAAATGACCTTTGTGTTTTTGCACCATGTCAACTCACCAGTGTTTATGTATTGCTGTCTCCATAGAGATGGAGAGGTGTTGTGTAAATCAGTGTGGCTGTGCTAGAGGCAAACTAAAACGCATATAAACATTCACTGTTGACTCAGGGACACTGTGCATATGACCTTTTAGCATAAAGCTAAATTAAAGTTTTACTGTTTAAACAGGGTGAATACTTTGGTTAATATCACTTTGTTTTTGGCCTACACTGTCGTTTCAACATTTTAAACCTCACATTGTCTTCTGGTAAATTACACATGACCAAAAAGTAAAAAAAAAAAAGTAATAACCAACCTTTAGATATACTTTAATCTGTAAGTGTTTTGTTTCTTTTAGCGACATCTCACGATTGCGATTAATCAGCTGCTGTGTTGCATGTTGGACTGTCTTAGGAGAAAGTGATGTTGTGATCATATTATCTACTTGCTACTCACCACTTGATAACCTCTGCCCTGTTAATGTCAGGATGATGAGAAGTTCCTGACAGACCTCTTTGCACAGCTAACAGATGAGGCTACAGATGATGACAAAAGACAAGAACTGGTATGCCAAAAAAATAAATTAGTGATTATTAACTTGTAATGCAAGTCAGACAGGTGTTTTTTTATTTCTTCATGGTTCAAGTAATTATGTTTTTGTATTTCTTTCAGGTAAACTTTTTAAAGGAGTTCTGTGCGTTTTCACAAACATTACAACCTCAAAACAGAGACGCTTTTTTCAAGACTTTGTCAAACATGGGCATTTTACCTGCACTAGAGGTTATACTGGTGAGTAAAATGACATTTATTGATGTTTAGATTTTATAGTAACATCACAGTCATTAATTTATCACATTTTCCTAATGTAAAAACAAAGCATGTGAAAAATATGAAATAAAGTATTTAGACCAATAAAACCTGTAGAACAGATTTGAATCAGTGTTTACAGTTGCTTCGCAACATGAAGTTTATAAAGCTCAAAGAGAAAAGATGAAAGTGGGATATTTTTTATTATGTTAAAGCATGGAGCAGAAATGGACTGGATGTCATGAGCTTTCTGTTTTGGGACATGCACATGCTCTAATTCTTCAAAATTTAGCATTTTTCAATCTTCCACCTCAGATGTTTTCAACCTTAAACCTCGCAGTCATGTTGCTCTGTAATGTTGCTGCTGTAGCTAAGAGGGAATACACAAAACATCAACAGTGACATTCGAACCGTCACTTATACATTACTCTATTGTTGAGTGAGGGAATACTGTTTCACTCTGTAAAAATGGTTGCTGCAGCAAAAGTATATTTTGCCTGTATATGTTTGTATTTTTTCATCTTTAGTAGCTTTTCTCCAATTGGTGTAAACAGTTTCTTTAAGGATCAGAGGCACAAATGGAAATCTGGCATTCCTGATGTACGTCTTAATGTTTGTTTCTTTAATTAATCTAATTTTTTTTAAGTGGCGTCAGTGATAGCTGAAGGTAGCTGCAACATGTTACTCCTAAAGCTAAGAAGCTTTAGGAGTAACATCTTTATTTGAATTCAGCTGGTATTGTGTTATTGTCGAGGACTGCAGTACAGCAAGATAATTGATATTCTCAAAATGAAGAGCTTGTCTCGTATTTTTCTATAAACGCATTTCACCAGTGAAGTTTCTAAATCCTGTTTTAAACAACGGACAGCGGCGTGTTTTAGTTGTTCTGTTTGGTGAAGTAAATGCTACGCTGGGTCCGTCTTTCTAAACATAACCGTCACAACAGTTTGGTTTTGTTGATCCTCATGACTAATCCCTAGCTGCAATGTTTTGGCTCTTCTGTGGCACCACTTCTTTTGGGGCTCACATCGTATTTTCCATTGTAAACGTTAAGACAGAAAGGGAGGAATGTGAATCTTTGGCTCAAAGCTCCAACAATGTTTGACCTATTTGAATTACATTTTTCTAAAAATGAAATCAAGTTATGCATACAAGCAAAATCAAATATCTAGTACGCCTAAAGCATAAAAACGCACTTTGAAGTTCATGTATTTATTTTGGCCAATATCGAAATAAGTCGTGAAACAGGCAAAATGAAAAAGTTTATTGTAGATCAGATTTTTTTTTATTTATTTGGACCTGAATTTGAAAGATATAAGCATGATTAATTGCATAACCCTGATCACCTGCTGAGATTAGATCAGAAAATTACTTAAAGCAGTTTGAAATTCTAATTCCACGTGTTCTGTTTTTTTTTTTTCTCGTTTTCTATTTTAATCTTTAGAATAGTATTTTATTTGTTGAAATAATGAAGCGGATAACTAACAGACCCTTCTTTGCCCAACAGGGAATGGATGATGTTCAGGTTCGTGGGGCAGCCACAGATATTTTCTCTTATCTAGTGGAGTATAACCCCTCCATGGTACGAGAGTTTGTCATGCAGGAGTCTCAGCAAAATGATGACGTGAGTCTATATGAAAAATACTCTGAAATTAAATGAAAGTTATAGCACGTTCCCACAAGTGGTTTTAAACTCGACCCTTTTGTTTTGTTCTCCAGGATATTCTTCTCATCAACCTGATCATAGAACACATGATCTGTGATACCGACCCAGAACTTGGCGGCGCTGTCCAGTTAATGGGTTTGCTGCGGACTTTATTGGATCCAGAGAACATGCTGGCAACCGCAAATGTGAGTTTTCACAGCTTTCACTTTAAGGGCTGGCTAATATGTCCTCTATCACTATCAAATGTGTTGAAACTGTTAAGAAAGGAGTGTGATGGATTTAAAAAAGTCTCTGTTGTCATTATTGCGATAGATACCACAAAGTACTCTGATTGAAATATTTTGTCCATCCCGACATCAGCTTTTAGACAACTGTTATTTTACTCAAAGCAGAGGCTAGATCTGTTTTATAAAACAATGTTTTAGTAGAAGAACAATTTTTGTCGTGGTGAGAAGCTTTGATGGATGCGAAAATGAGAAATTAAGTAAATTTTGTTGTGGAGGTTATGTCCAGAAACAAACTTTTATTAATTTGAAGGAAAATATAGCATGAATTAATTCATAGCAGACTCTGTGACCATTTAAAGAATGTAATAACTTACTGTTGCATTTTCCATAAATTTAAGTTACTTTTGCTAATTGAATGAGTTCAGCTTTCCCAACCTAATCACTAGGGCCACTATGCCTGCCATTTTGGATACATTTTTACATACCAGACACATTCTGGATTCTTTCTGGATTCTTGTGTAATTTGCTGGATTCTTGTATAATTTGCTGGATTCTTGTATAATTGCTTTCCACAAATAATATTCACGTTTTACAGTCATTTCCAAGACTGACATGACAATGTTATTCCTGCTGACCAACAAACTGTGGGTTATTAAGCTAAATGTTTTGCTTAGTCTGTAATCTATAAATATAGAAGTCAATAAATAGATTTACAAGCAGAAATAGTTTCTCACAACCAGAATTGAATTTACCAAACCTACTTATTTTAAGCTGTTGCAAGTGATCTGAAGTAGACAGACGGGACATTTGAAATTAGTGAAATAATGCTAAAACTTTTCTTTTTTTCTCCCTAGAAAACAGAAAAGACAGAATTCCTGAGCTTTTTCTACAAGCATTGTATGCATGTCCTCTCTGCTCCACTATTAGCCAACACAACAGAAGAAAAACCAAGCAAAGGTACTGAATATTTTTAAGATCTGGCAAATGTAAATTTTTATTTCAAATGTTGCGTTTTCTTATTTAGTTGTCTGCATTTTCTGTTGCCTGTAGATGATTTTCAAACAGCCCAGTTGCTTGCCTTGATTTTGGAGCTGCTAACGTTTTGTGTTGAGCATCACACGTATCACATCAAGAACTACATCATCAACAAAGATATCCTAAGGAGGGTACTGGTTCTCACTGCCTCTCAACACGCCTTTTTGGCACTATGTAAGTCTCAACATGTATATTTTAGTCATTGCCTGGTAACCTAAGTACAATGAGTTGTGATTATTCCTACCGTTGTAGTGATGCAGATGTTTGACTCACGTGTTGGTAAAGGAGCCATTGCTAGATGCAGTTTCTGGAAGAAACATAAATGATCAGGTTAAAAATGTACCTGTAGAATTTGACCTGTGTAATGACATGTGTCTGTTCTTTACTTTAAGACATGCCATGTGAGTTTGAGTTAAAATGTGCCAAGAAAACAGATTTTTGTGCCTCTGCTGTGTGTAGTTTCTCTGTTAATTTAGTTTTGCTGGACATATGAATGTTTCCTGAAAGGATTTCTTGCTGCTCCTGCTGTGGATTGCTGTTATTGAAACTTAAGAGATGTAGTTATGGATGCGTGTCAAATATTTGTGTATTCCCCTTAATTCATTTCCCCTAAACTTACTCCACGCCAGTGAGTTTTAACGCTGTTTGTATCTAAGCTGTGCAAGTTTGGAGCTCTGCATGAAAGTATCTTCCTTCATTCTCAGGTGCCCTGCGCTTCATGAGGAGGATTGTAGGCCTGAAGGATGAGTTCTACAATCGGTACATCATGAGAAACTTCCTGTTTGAGCCCGTCGTTAAAGCCTTCCGCAACAACGGATCGCGCTACAACCTATTAAACTCAGCTATGATTGAGATGTTTGAATATGTCCGTGTGGTGAGTATTGTTCCCACGCAAAATATTTTCCACAAAATTGCTTCTGCTTAACTTGGAAATTCTAATCATTAAACAAATATTCATTGAATTTTTGGGAATTTTATGAAAATGCAGTCGTACAAGTGAAGATAATTTCATTGATTTAAAAGTTTGTTTCTTTTACCATATTTATGAATTATCATCTGTTTCTTTGTTCTCTTCTGTGTTAGTCTGTTTTGTTTTTTAATGTTCATATGGACAACTTTAAAATATACATTTCTAATGTTAAATTGAAAGAAAAGTCTTCTCTTGGGTTTAAATAGCCCAAAAAAGTAACAATTTGTCATGGTGGATTGCCCACCTCAGAAACCAAAAGAAATTGTTTTTTTATGGCAATAGAAGTTCCAATAATATCTAATTACTCATGTAATGCTAAAGTTAGTTCAACAAATATGATGTATAAGTTTATCACCAGTCATAGTTTTGCAGACTGTCTGCTCTTTGTGCTTAAACCGAATTTATTTTCTCCTTCTATACTTTTCTTTTCATCTGTGATTTAATAACAGATTTATTTTGCCTCCCATTCTAGGAGGACATAAAGTCTCTGACAGCTCACATTGTGGAGAACTACTGGAAGTCTCTGGAGGATGTAGACTACGTCCAGACATTCAAAGGCCTAAAGCTGCGATACGAACAGCAACGAGAGAGACAAGACAACCCCAAACTGGATAGGTGAGAAAATCAAGGCGTGGCAGTGTTATTACTGCCTGTTTCTGTCTTGAAAGTTAATGTTTTTGTGATTTCTCTTTCTTCGTTCAGAGGTTAAAAAGTCCAGCATGAATATGTACAATGCTTTGCTTTTTTAGATGCTTTGCTTTAGATTGCTTATTTTCTTCCTCACAATTTGCTGTTGACTTTTTTTAGCTCAATACTTTGGGTCCATTGATGACTAAGATTGTTAATTGTTTCAATGGAAACACAAACTTGAAGCATTGCTTTTCATTTTGAAGATGGAAAATGAAAAGCAATGCTGCAAATTGTTGCTCATTCATAATTACCGGCCGTAAGAGTCTGTTCAAACAGAACATAGATGATTTCTTATTTCCTTTTTATACAGTTTATATGTTTTTTTCTTTGTGGTAGGCATGGCAACTAAAATGTGCCTGGTCATAAAAAAAAAAAAGGACTTGCTAAAAACTTTTTATTCCTGAGCTAATTTTTTCCCCCATCTGAATCTCAACAGCATGCGCTCCATCCTGCGGAACCACCGCTTCCGTCGCGACGCACGGACGTTAGAGGATGAGGAGGAGATGTGGTTCAACACGGATGAAGACGACCTTGAGGATGGCGAGGCCGTTGTTCCTCCCTCTGACAAGATGAAGAGCGAAGAAGACCTCATGGAACCTATTAGCAAATTCATGGAGAGAAAGAAATGTAAGTTTCAGAAAATGGCTCTGCAGTACGCCTGAAGATTATTGTACGCAGTAGAAATTAGAGGACGAGCTACAATAAATGTGTACTGCAGGTTAGCCATTTTAATGGTATATTAAAGGTCATGGCGAATGATAAAGGCTTCTAAAACAGGAGTACATTTAGTTTTGGTCAGTTCAATTTAAAATCTAAATTCCTAAGTCAAACCTAAAATAAATTATTGTTTGCAAAGTCTTTAAACTACAACTCAAACTATGTATTTTTTGGGAAATAAAGCAAAATCTTTGCTTTGACTCTGCATGCAGCATGTTAGATAGGATTAATCCTGATTACTCTATACAGTAAAAACAGAGAAATATCCCTTTACACAAGAGCTGAATCAGATGGCAACCCTGGCGTTATTAACCATTGCTCCCACCACAAAAGAGAAACAAAATGAAAAATCACATCAGTAATGAGCCACCCTTGTCAAAAATGGCCGCTTCATTATACCAATGAAAGACTTAATAGATTATTAGAAGACAGTGGTCCTGGCAGACGATGTAGATGATGCAGTCCCCACAACTTCTTACAGTGTGTAGTTCTTAAGTAAACGACACTAAAGTGGTTCTAAATGATGTGTCAACAGTTTTTTATAGCTAACGTTGTTTATTGCGCTGACTAATTTGTTGCAGGTCTAGTATGTGTGTACGTAGTGTGTATTTAAACAAAAGAAAACTATAAATAAAAACAGCCTTAATAAAGTAAATCAGAATTTGATCTCATTGTAAAGACCTTTTGTTAATATTTTAAAATGCCTTTAAGTTTATTTACCAAACAGTTGTACATGCATTCTCTTTAGTTTGGTGTATATATTTGTTTGCCATTAATCAAAAGAAGAAAAAAAAATCTTTGAGCACAAATAGAATCCATGAGCTCAAAATATTTTCATCCATTTTTAAAGTGGACCAAAATAGGCTTAGTTTGAAGAAACATCTCTAGTTGTTAGTAGACATGTGAGATTCTCTGAGGTGCAATTTCACTGTATTACAAAAATGTATTTTTAGTAGTGTTTTGGGGTTTTATCTCTATTTAAACTAATTTTAGCAATTTTGAAACCATGACTTTTGAAACCGTTGAATATTTTCAGACTGGTAACCCAGCCGATGTCTAGATGTTAATGTGCACACTGCTGGTCTGTAATTCCTGCGTTTTCCTCGTTCAGAGTAAAACACATCTTAATCTCTTCCTCATCCTAAAAATGTAAGTAGTTTGGTGAGAATAACTTTTCTCACGTTGTCATGTTTGCCCACAGTGAAAGACACGGAGGATAAAGACGTATTGGGCAAGTCGAGTTTGTCAGGCAGGCAGAATCCCAGCTTCAAGCTTTCCTTCTCTGGATCCACTAAGACCAGCCTGGCCAGTCCTCCTTCATCAGCCTCACTGAACCCAGGTTCTCCAGGATCACCAGGGTCTCCCGGCTCAGGGGCACGGAGCTCACCCCCCATGACAGCTGTAACCACAAAGGTATTTGTTAAAACTTAACAGGAAAACTTGAGAAATTAAACACTTCAAAAAGTAATTAGCACAGCTTTTGAACACCCTCTAGATAAGAGAGTGAAGAAAACTTATAAAATCTATGAAGCTTCACACCTAAGCTGTTAGTTTTCACACAGAACCTGCTTTTAATTGCAATCACGAGCAGTGTCATTGGACGACTTTACAGATTTTTTTTTTTTTTAACAGACAATGCGCACATGAAAAACAATAATGCCTAAATCACATGCCGTTTCGACAAACATGTTACTAAAATAAAAGTTCTGTTAGCGGCAGCTTTTTGAGGAAACACTGTTTAAAGCCAGCAGCGACTGCTGAACTCCATCATAAACTCCTCATGTACTGCCCTTTGATTTATGGCATTTTGCTTGTCTGCTGCAGGGAGGTTTAGTGGGACTGGTAGACTATCCGGATGATGATGAAGAGGAGGAAGAAGAGGAGGACGGAGAAAGTAAAGAGGATTCTCTGCCGCCCACAAAAAAATCCAAACTGAGCTCGTAAAGAGTTACTGTTGCAGCTTTTGCGCCGCTCAGACAGTCTCGGAACATTGACTCTTCACAGGAATGATCAAACTTGCAGACAAATTGAATGAATGAAAGCCGCCCCTTGTTGTGAGAGGGCGGCCCAACGAGGAGCAGACTGCTGATGGATATAAAGCCTCCTCAGATTCTCCCAGTTCATAGAAGTGCCAATCAGGAGAGCAGGAGTGGACAAACACCGTCTGAGAAGTGGAGCGGACGTCAAACACTTTGGTGGGTGATAGAGCTCCCACGATAGAGCCTAGCTGTTGTTTGGTGATTTCTCAACTGGAGGAAAAAGACCACATACTAATACAAATGTACACACAGAGCATATGTGCTCGGACCATAACCCACTGCCCCCGCCCTCTACCCCCCCCCACTCAGGGAAGGACATCACAGCGACCCAGATGGGTCAGCCAATTCAGACCCACACCCACCTATTGCACCCCATTCCCTCCCTAGAGTTCACTTCCTCACTGTTCCTTTCTGCTTCCTTTTCTTCTGCTCTCGTTTCCTTCCCTTCCCTTCGTCGGTTGCTTTTTGTTCCCTTTTAAGTTAGTTTCTAGGACCAGATGGGAGGCAGCACGAGGCAAACGGCTGCCCTTGTTGTCATTCGATGTCATCATTGTTGTTGCTCCTCAGTGGACGTTCTTTCTCCGGAGAGGAAAAAAAAAAAAAAAGCCAGCAGTTTTTTTTTTCATGATTTTCCTTTTGTTCTCTATTTGTCTCTTCCACCTGTTTTTTGTAAATGACAAAAAAAAAAAAAAAAAAAAAAACCAGCCCTTAAAATGTTAAGGCCTTTTTCAATCCAATTGGAAAAGGTTTTTAAAGCCTTCG